CGGAGGAAGAAATCAGGAAGAAGCGCTGGAAGTGGATAGGACACACATTGAGGAAAGCACCCAACTGCGTCACAAGACAAGCCCTCACATGGAATCCTGAAGGTCAAAGGAAAAGAGGAAGACCAAAGAACACATTACGTCGAGAAATGGAGATAGACATGAGAAAAATGAACAAGAATTGGATGGAACTAGAAAAGAAGGCCCAGGACAGAGTGGGTTGGAGTATGCTGATCGGCGGCCTATGCTCCATTGGGATTAACAGGCGTAAGTAAGTAAGTAAGTTGTACCAATATTTATGTGTTCAAATAAATATACATTTAAGATCAAAGAAAGTGAAGGTGGTGGTGGGCTTTTGACACTGACATTGGTGGGTTCGTGTATCGATCATGCCTTACACTTAGTTTGGAATTAATATGTTCACTATTGAAAAGCAACAGAAAATCATTTTCCTAGGGAAATGACAGGTATCCAAAGATAACTAACAATCCTACTAAATTAGGTTACAGTGTGAGGGTTCACCATAATGTTTATGAAAATAAACAATTTAAGACTTCAAGATTGCCAGTGGGTTTTATCTTGAGTCAGTGAGCAGTACAACCTTAATAGCTCTATTCTGTTTGTGACGAATTATAGGACATTAAACCTATGAAGATTATTTTGCAATTTACGAAACCATATAATAATTTGACTTCTTCCGGTCATTTTCCGTGTTGTTTGAGCGTCAAAAGACCGAAGATAATGTCCCGAAATGTATTTATTTATTTATTTGAACACATGAATATTGGTACAAGAGAGCGCCAATATATATGCGCCACACAAAACAATGAGAATTCGAAGAGAAGTAGAAAAAAAAACTAAGGAGCGCAAAAGAAAAAGAGAACAATGACGAAGAGATTGGAGTAAGGTAGTGTGGTAGTAACGAGGGAATGAAAAGGTACAATCAGAAGAAATCTTTTAGGTAAAGGAGACACAACCACTTTTTATGAAGAAAGTAAAAGAAGGTTACAGCAGGATCGCCACTGGGTTTTATTCTCAGCCATATCTGATAACGTCTCTAGCCACTGTGTAGCACCACCTCTAGGACCCCAACCAGGGAGTCGTGAAGGACCAACACAAGCCAGTCCTTTGCAGCTTTCTTTCATACCACGACACCATGTCATGCACTGACCACCTCTCCGCTTCTTCCAACCAGTCCCAGAGTCGGCAAATAATGCACAACGTGGAATTCTCTGGGACGACATTCGGAGAACATGTCCAAACCGCCGAAGTCGGTGTTTCAAGATGGTGACATCGATTGCATTATCGTCTCGGTGCCCGAACACACGATGCCGAACCTCTGCATTACTGACATGGTGTTGCCACTGGATGTCAGCAATCCTTCGGAGACAGCGATGATCGAACACAGAGAGTCGTCTAACATCCTCAACTCGGAGACCAGGTTTCACAAGCATAGAGCAAAACTGCTCTCACCGACGCGTTGTAGATCCGACCTTTTACAGTCAGACTAACATCACGAAGGCGCCAAAGGTGGCCCAGATTGGCATAAGCCGCTCTGACTTTCACTATACGTTCATTGATCTCATCACTCACGCCACCACCAGCACTTATGCAGCTACCTAGATACACGAACTTCTCGACTATTTCTATCTGTTCACCATCCAGAGTGAGTGCAGGATTAGAATCCTGTCAGTCTTATAGAAGTACTTTACACTTGGAAGGTGCAAAGCACATACCATACCTACGGACACTGATTGCCAACTGATTAAGTGCGGATTGCATGCCTTGGGCATTGTCGCACAGTAAGACAATATCGTCCGCATACTCAAGGTCGAGAAGTCTTTCTCCAGGTGACGGATCCACACCACCATTACTTACATTCATCAGAGCTGTTTCCAGAATGTCATCGATGGCAAAGTTGAAGAGGAATGGTGAGATTGGGCAACCCTGCCTAACCCCACTGCTCGAATGGAACAATGGAGAGAGGTGATTGTATGCCCTCACTCTGCTTGAGGTGTTTTTATATAGGGCTTTTAGGATGTTAATAAACTTCTCAGGCACACCCTTCTTCAATAGACAATCCTAGAGAACAGTTCTGTCCAACGAATCGAAGGCAGCCCTGATGTCAAGAAACGCTACGATTGTTGGCCTTTGAAAAGTATGGGGGTGTTCTAACATTTGGCGGAGGGTGAAGATATGATCAATACATCCTCGACCAGAACGAAACCCAGCCTGCTCCTCGCGAGTCAATCTTTCTCGGGTTTTGAACATCCTACGAAGAATGACGGAAGCCAACACTTAGTGAGTTATCTCCAGAGTCCACGCTCTTGGGCCTCACTACACTGTTGGTTCAGAATGAATGCAGTTCTTCAGACAATCTTTAGAATTCTAGATTTCACAAAAACCAAGTAGAACTGCACTCACTAAAACGTCTCATAAGCGACAAGAATTAGCATACATCACTCTGGTCTTTGCTACACATGGACTGATATAGCTTGACAGCATCATTCATTTAACTACCCAAATACACGGCTCTTCTATTATTCCCGTCAGTTAATCACAAAGGATATAAGCAGACACAAGTCTCAGATAATAAGACGCCATCGGTTTGCTGCGCATTTTTATGGAATTTGCTTGGCCTTCCGACCAGGACATTGCAATCATACTAAAAAGTATCGGAATTCCTTACAAATGTTTATTACGCCATCTGTTTTGATATCTACGACCAAGAAAAAACAGGATATCCTGGACAAAGCTAAATTAGACCCATTTCTAAAGTGCTCTACTTAGCACAGCACATTCTCAAAATCCGACGACATATTTCTCTAGAGTAGTAAGTTGTAAAACATCAAAGAAATGTATCAATAAGAGTCCAGTTATAAGGTCAGTCAGTCAGCTACAACGTAGGACCAGGCACATATATGCATTGGTCCAAGTTGCCATACCTCATTAACATAACAAGATGGACACCGGATTCATAAAAGCAGTTAATTCAGAGGTGGTAATATATAAAAGAAAGATTTCATATAAGGATATAGTACAAGAAGAAAGATTTAGTTCGTAGAAAGAAAGATATGAAGCGATTTTAATCTCTTAGTTTAAGGGAAGACAAAGAGTGCATACACCGATGCCATTGTGATCGATTCTGAGCCATGTCACCAAGAGTCTCCAACCATTGGTTACGATAGTCACGCGGACCCCAACCAAGTAGTCTGCATCTCCCAACATTGTTCAGACCAACAGTTAGCGTCTTCAAGCACTGATACCACGTTTTAGTTTGGCCGCCCCGAACTTGCTTCCAACAATCCCCAACACCTGTTAGCATTGCACGCCGTGGTAATCGGTGTTCAGGCATACGCAACACGTGGCCCAACCATCTCAGTCGATGGAGATTCACAACCTCATCAACTGTGATTTACCATCATTCCCTAATACCCTACGTCTAACCTCAATATTACTTACCCGGTGATCCCAACAGATGCGAGCAATATTTCTAAGGCATCTGTGGTCAAATACTAATAGCTTAAGAGTATCTTCGACTCTTAATGGACATGTTTCTCTGCCGTAAATTAAAACAGAACGGACTGCCGCGCAGTATACTCGTCCTTTTATTGATAGACGGATATTTCGCCTTCGCCATAGGTGACGTAAGTTGGCAAAAGCTAAACGAGCTTTTCGAATCCGTGCCGAGATTTCGTCAGACACCAACCCACTAGGGTTGATCAGACTTCCAAGATAAGTGAAGTTGTCGACGCGTTTGACTACTTCACTCCCTATCCTTAGTTCAGATGTTGACGCAGACCAGTCCTGAAGCAACAACTTGCATTTAGAGGGAGAGAAGCGCATTCCAAACATTCTGGCATTGTTGCTGAGTGCTACTAAAAGACTCTGCATTTTATCAGCGTCTTCACCAAACAGGACTATGTCATCTGCGTATTCTAAGTCGATAAGTTGATCTCCTGGAAGGAGATCAATACTCGAGAATTCAGTTGACGAGAATGTTATTTCCATCAGTATGTCTATGATGAAGTTAAACGAAAATCGAGATAGTGGACAGCCCTGAGTGACACCACTTGAGTTTGCAAAAGCAGATGACAGTTCGCCATAAGCTCTGACTCGACTAGTAGTGTTCGAGTAAAGAGCCTACATAAGGTGTGTGTACTTCTGAAGTACACCACTCAATGACAGACACTGCCACAGAATCTCGCGGTCTACGGAGTCAAATGCTGCTTTTAAGTCAAGAAAGACCATCATTGTCGGACGTTGATACGTATGCATGTGTTCCAGAACCTGACGAATGGTGAATGATGTGGTCGATGCAGCCACGACTAGTTCTGAAGCCAGCCTGATTTTGTCGTGTTTGCAGTTCACGAGTCTTAGTTAGGCGTCTGATAATTATCGAGGCTAGTATTTTAGATACTATATTAGTTAAACTAATCCCTTTATGGTTGTTACAGTATGATTTTAACCCTTTCTTGTATATTGGGACGATAAGTGATTGTGACCAGTTAGATGGGATAACATCTAACTCCCAGATCTGAGCTAAAATATTAGTCAACCTAATCGCTAAAATTGGACCACCATCCTTAAAGACCCCTGGAGCCAATCCATCTGGACCAGTTGTCCTTCCTCGTTTCAGATTAACTATAGCCTTTTCAACTTTTGCTTGAGTTGGGTACCTACTTCAATGTTCCATTCACACTGTCTAGGAATGGAGGGTAGTTGTAGAGTAGCTGAAGGCCAGCTGAACTGTTCTCTAAAATGTTCCGCCCATTGTTCTAAACGTCTGGACTGAGAGCAGATGAGATTGTCGTCTTTTTCCAAGATAGTCTGACTTACACTTGATTTATTAATTCCAGTTTCTTTTATTAGTCTGTAGAGCTGTCTTGTGTTCCCTATAGCCGCTGCCTTTTCCATCTCTTTTGCTTTCGTTGCCCACCACTGCTCACGGTCGTTCCTTAGACTTTTGCCTAACCTAGATCTGATTTGTTTTCGCTCTTTATATATTACCACCTCTGAATTAACTGCTCTTATGAATCCGGTGTCCATCTTGTTATGTTAATGAGGTATGGCAACTTGGACCAATGCATATATGTGCCTGGTCCTACGTTGTAGCTGACTGACTGACGTACTACACTGAAGGCAAAAAATTACTTTTTCTCAGCCAATATGTACCTTTAGCAAAAATACATTGTTAATCAGAAAGAAATCAAATACATATTATTAAAAATAGTAAAACAATAATGCATAATTTAGTTAGCTAACAGATCAGATCTATAAATTAATGTCACTGTTTATAATGTGACCAGATCTCTGGTTTCAATATGATTGAATAAGGCATCTAAAATTTCTTTTGGTGGACCTTCTGCAACCAATCGTCCAGACTGCATGACTATAACACGTGAGCATAAACGACGAACTGAAGCAAGTCGATGGGCTATGAGTAATATTGTGGCTCCTTGAAATTCTTGGTCAAGGACTTGCTGTTTGTATGGAAAATATAAATAAATGTTAAAACACTGTTACATAAGTGACATATGTATTCTTGTTATAGTACATTTCGTTATCAAGTGGGAAATTAGTCATTAGTAGGACTTATACGTGTCAGTAGTTACTTTTTCTTCAACTTATTAGCAAGGAAGAAAATATCAGAATATAGTCTGCTCAGTCAGATATATTTTTGTCACGAGAACTAATGATGAAGAAGGAAAGTTAGAGATTGTATTCTGTGCAATAAAGTTTAACCTATACACTAAATAACTTCTGAACATTATTAGCCCATTGAAAATACGTCAAGTTTGTATTTTCGTTTAAATTAATTAACAAAACGAGAGGATAGTATAAAAAACAAACTGATAAACTAGTTATCCATATCTCGTACGTCGATAACTTAAGGTCATAATCGAAATGTTGCTGAAACATGGCGAGGTAGTTGACGCTGACAGGCCCGTAAATCTAGACCGTACGATTTCACGACCATTTAATTTAAGACAGAAAGAAAATGCCAATTAACTAATAAAATACAATACAAAGTGGAAAGTAATGTGTTGAACACATAATTTATTAATTTCCGCTTTAAATACATGGAAATGAGTTAGCTGTTCATATAAATCTGATTGTGAAAGAATTAAAAAGGAACCACATCAAGATGTTATCTGAAACTGAATATGTTATTGTCGAAATTACAGATGAATAATTCAGCCAGTTAGAAATCACTAAGAATATAGAATTCGATTCACTGAGTAATGGAAGAAAGGATTAAGCATTAAAAGAGATATGAGAGTTATAACATCCGAACTTTTAAACAATAATATGAATTCCAGCAATTATGATCCAACTAATGAGAAAAAAAGTAAAATTGATAAATTATTTGTACAGTAACTTAAACCTTATTTCGTTCAATAGCTAAGTCAAAGACATATCTAAATTCTCTGTGAATTTAGACATAATAGTTGTATCATAATTAAATAACTTTTTACAACAAGCTGGAGCATGCTATACAGTAACCAAAGTATGGACAGTAGTGTTACACAATTAATTTATTAATTAATGACTAACACAGAATAAAATCTTACATGAATAGTTTCTTCACATTTGTTGTCCACTGAAGCAGTGGCTTCATCTAAACAAATAATTTTTGGCCTAGGTTGACGAAGTAAAGCTCGAGCTAAACAAATCAATTGCCTTTGCCCGGCAGATATATCTCGTCCTGATTCACCAACTTCACGAAGTAACCACTGAGAGGCTTGTAAACGACTTGTAGCCAGTTGACATTTCAATAAAACGTCTTCCAATACAGAATCATTTAGCTTACTAGTAGTAATTTTTTGGGAGAAAAAAATATGAGGGAAGTGTTGGGATTATAAATGTGGTAATAATAATGACTGAACTTAAACAAAGATCGGTTAAGAAAAACTGGCGATATAGCTTTGAAGAGTTAGATGATGGAGGGTAGTAGAATGTTTAGGTCATTTCTCATCCTATATCGTGATCTGCCACTTTTATTGTTTTAAATATCATAGAATAAGCCCGTATACTATGCTGCCATCATTATAAATGATAGTTTTGTGTACAGCACATGTTGAATACACTAGTAGGATATAATCTATTTAATCTACTTTCTACTGATATTATAATGTACGAGTTTAATCCTAAGGATGAGATACTTATCATTGGTTGGATAAAAATCCCTACTGGTAAAGTAACAATCACATCCTTCCTTATAATTTGGTCGTTGCTGTGATGTCTACGAATGTATGAATAAGGTGGAAAAAAGTAAGCGAAAACCAGTCCAGGACGTTGCATCAGTTTATCTAGTCATTGACTGTTGGATTGAGTCGTGTTGGTAGGTTAAGATGACATAGTTAGGGTCAGCACTATTATCGTAACGAGTCGCTGGAGCTGTCAAGTGACATGATTTAAAATCAGTAACAATGGCACAGATTCAGTCACGTTTTTTATTGTTTTGGATCTTGGGTTTTATGATCAAATTATGTTATTTTATTCCATGAACTTATTTTTTTTCGAATTATACTGTCTATGGCTAATCTTTTCTGTCATCATTAATACCGTTACTACTGCTATTACTATGGCATTTGTTTTTATAATTTTATCTCGCCGTGCTGATATGGTATGGTAACTTGAACCGATGCACGAATGTTCCAGGTCCTACGGTGCTTACGGTTGACTGACGTTGTGATCAGTTAACGAAGAGACACGGGATTTCATTTCGGCATGAGTTAATTTCAATATTAATAAGTTGAAAATGTTTTATATGACAAGATTAATCACAAAAGAGGGATAATAGCTTCTAATGAACATACTTCTCAGGATCTAGATTGTCTCGTAAGCACCCAGAAAAGAGAAATGGTTCCTGACAAATAGTTAGAATCCGAGAACGAAGTAAGGTGAGAGGAATAGTGCGAACATCTATTCCATCGACAAACACCTTGCAAATGAAAAATAGATAGGGGAAAGCGAAGAACGATAATAATATCAATGAACAAATAAAGTATATGGTCGATGAAAATTTCGATATCATTTTAATCAGATAATAAATAAGCTGCTAAAACGGAAGGAAAGTGAAATTTTGCAACTTATCCCCTGAGAAATCAGCATGTATATTTGATGCATCAGATGAAAGTGAACTGTGATTAATCAATGAAGGTTGATGAGAAGGCCCACTACAATGTTTTGTATAAATCATTATGCTTATGACGAAACTCTGGTTTACTACTCGGATTTTCACTGAATGAGGATTGCGCCTAATTGTATCAAGCAAACTATTGTCTGACCTATACCCTGGTACTCTGTGTTTAGTCGTGAAATGTGATTTAATCGAGTAGTCTAATTATTTAGTATCTGTTATAGTGTGTCCAGTCAGATTACTGAATCGATTATCATACTATCGTATATTCAAATGACAGATAAATCTTGATTGAATTTCTCCTCCTTGAATGTGAGTTTAACGTAAACTCATTATTATTTGTTGTAGAACCTCTTACTTTTTATCTATTTTTACCCATAAATATTTTGAGAAACAAAGACAAGGCATTAATTTATTCAACCTCGAGTGCATTATTCTGGTAAATCTAATATCATAGTCATGTGTTTCAAGTACACACCACATGTGAATTTTAATAGTGCAGCATAATATCAGTACTTAGCCACACGGCCATCTGACTGGTAATTTAGGGAGGAGAGGGAATTTTGTGAGGACTATTGACTGTTAGTGAGCTCATAATGTGGTGTGTGCTACTGATGTGGACAGATATAAGTAGTACGTGTCACCAATCGAAAGTGAAATGCCTAGCGGCAGAAGGTGAAGAAGATCGAAGTAAAGAGAACGAGATTAGAGAATGATTGTTGTGGAAATGAAGGAACCATGAAGTCTGAGACGATTGATTGACATTTTGCAAATGAAGTGTTTACTGTATGGTTCTCAGATTTTACTAAGAGATCCTGTAATTTTGTATTCAAATACATTCGATTGTCCCCACCTACATTTTTGTTCGCTACAATAAGCAGGCACGGGATGAAAATCATAACACAAGTAATATATAGATAAGATATATATAATTAATTCTGGTCTTACATTTATGTTGTAAGCTGATTTATCAAATCAGCTGACCAAATAAATTCGAGTTTCGTATACAGACTACCTAATTTTTTCAAACACCGACTTGAATGTTCGAATTCCGTTTTCATTAGCCTAATGCTGTAACTCTCAAAAAGTGTGTGAATCACATTAAAGTATACAAAGTTGTACTTTCTTTGTCGAGATAAAGATTGTTGGTTGAAAGACTATACGTTTACTATTTAACAATCAGAACATACTATTGACTGCATTCTAACTTTTATAGTTATTGAAATTCTTAGAATTTTCAACAAGTGTATCATTACTTTAGTACAGTGAGTAATTTTGGATTTGATATAACGAGAAGTGGAGTATCATGGATTTATTTATGATATGATAAATAACTTAATCATATTCTTTAAGTTGAATATTTGAGACATGAATGATAATATAAATTCCTTAACACATTCAGTCGATTAGTTCAACGTTTTGAGATCTATTCCCATAATATTCGGAAAATGATTCCATAAGCAAATGGTGAGTTCGAATATATTAGTCATTTTAGTAAATTTACAAGACAATTTAGCTCCCATAATTCTAGTGATCCTTTGTATGACGGAGACCGCAGTTTGACTATTAGATTACACCAAAATTACTGATTTACGCGGCTGAGCTTTTAGAAAATGGATATAATTAGTTCAACATTCTACATAGAAAAATGATTGAAAGAATACAAGCAAAAAAATCGCTGTGTTGTCGACTACAGTTGTGAATATCCTGACCAACGGAAGTAACACACTGATTCAAAACATAGATACAGTAAACCAATATATATTTAAAATGAATCCAAAATCAAGAATGACTTAAGTGTTATAAATGTATTTCAAAATACACAAAGTGAGGTACTATAAATATATTTACGCATAAAGTAATGCATTAACGGCGTTTCATATTAGGAAATTAGCACAAAAGAAAGGATCTATGATTCAGAGATTTTAACCAGGGCCAATGAGCATCTAAGTTCAATAAGGAGTGGATCAAAAGCTCTGAACATTTAGAACACGATAAATTGAGTGATCATGACCGAAGTTCGGGATCGTTTAAGTCATTTGTAAGAAGACAACTAATCACATGACATTGAATACAATAGAAAGCTACGTCAGTGGATATTGAAAATAGGGGGATATATCAATTACAAGTAGGGAAGGGGGAGTGACAAATGAAAAACAAGATAGGGATTGAAAAATACATGCATGTACACAAAATCTGTGCACACGATCAAGATGGTAGATGATATTTAACACTGCCTTTACGTTGAGATGGCTACTCTAATCTCGCTAGACAGCATTCAGCAGTCAACGGCCAATGGAAATGATACTTGTGGCAGAACCACGGTAGTTGATATAAAAGGACGACCTCAAAGTTAACATTTTACTTTTAAGGCAAAAACCTTCCACACATCCCAGTTCTACTAACCATTATGTATACCATTATTTACAATTTCATACCAGACAAACGGCTAGTAATTGCTTGGACTTTTTGTGTTACTAAAGATCAGATCATAAATTTTACTATATTTAGTGATTATATATTAGTATCACAAAATACCACTTTGGATGAGCAAAAAACGGTGTTGTCAAGGAATTATTATATTGTTGACCAGAGCAACTTGAAAAAACTAAACAAATGTAACATACTTGGCCGGTGGCACCTATGAATCCCGTCTGATTAGCTATATATTGGTTTGTATACGGTCCAGGGAGGTGGTCAACCAGACGTAATAACACTTTGATGAGACTACTTTTACCAGATCCTGTACGGCCAACAATTCCTACACATTCACCGGGTTTAACAGTAAAACTGACATCATCAAGAGCTTTGACAGATTGTTCATTAGCTGACTCGGAGTTCTGACGATAGGTAAGCGAAACATTGTTGAAAAAAATGGATCCAGATGCTGGCCAGTTAGGCAGTAGTCCTGTAGGATAAGCAATACCACTTTTCCTCTCTTTCGGCAAACGAAGGTGACTGTGTGACGAAGAACGAGGTTGAGGCCCCTTCAGAAGAGTAGTTACACGATTACGAGGTAATTCCAAATTATTTTTATAAAAATTGTAACACATAACATTTAACACAGCGATTTAGTATTTCCATTTCCATAGGAATTAGAAAGCGTATATTACATTTAAATGTTGGATAAATGATTGAAGAGCAGGTAGATCTGATAATCCTATTCAACGAAGGAGATAAGTTGATCAATTTTACAACATTGTTTCCTAAAGTGCTGCCCAGGCTTCGTATTTTATAAACTCATTAAAGGCTACTGAAACGTTTTCCGTGGTAATATGAATTACAACCTGTTGTAACAGGTGTGTGACTGCAGGTTATGATACGCAGCGTATTTATCGATCGCTTCTGTGACAGTGACACGGAAACATGTAATGGACGACCTAGTGCCCTGATTGGTCTCGCTTCCCTGTCTAGCCCCAGCCAGTTGAGTCAAGAACGCAAGTCACAGCCTCTGGGTTATGAATCATTATATTTCAAACATACTTTGTTTATATACCAATCAAGCATACCACATCGTACCATAAAATAGGAAACAACATTTACAAAATATTTAACAAGTGAAGTAAACATCGACCAATAGGAAATGTACATTTAAGGTCCAAGGTCACCACAGACTTAACACAATAATTATTGGTATATTCTTCCGACTATCCTAACACAACCATGAATTCAATCTCCTAAGCTACAACAATTCGTGGATGGGGAAGCTGACCGAGGCGGAATTTGAAACTGTCCGACCATTACTGATTTCAGGGACGAAAGCTTTATTATTGTCCACTTTGTGTAACAATCTTACAGGGAGCAGCTGAATCCGCAGGCCACTTACAATACGTGGCACAGTGTTCACACGGGTCAATCGCTCAGTTTAGTGACGTATATATTTGTGCGCAGTGAAATGTCTGGGATTACGCAAAATCATATCACATCCCTAGGTGAATATTTTGAGTATCAAATGGGTGGAGATAATGATCTAGAGCAATTTCTATGCACCACAGCGGATTGAATTGATTTCTGTTCTAATAGTAACTGTGTTAATCTACGCTTGGAAACATGAAGTTATTCAAGTCAAATAACTTGTTTTGACTTTGGCCACCCCAAGACTGTAATCAACAGCCTAGGGACTAGTTTAGAAATTTGTCTGTAGATAATTAAATCCTATAGTACAATATTAGTAATGTGAATATAACTCCATCAAAATTAGATCTAATCCTTTAAAATGACCCTAAGTATACTTTCTTGTGGGGACGAATATATTACATATATAGCTAGTAACTATTTACATCAAATTGTTATATTTAGACTGACAAACATATACAAGAAATAATTAAATACAATTCTAAAAGAAATTTATACATAACTAAAAGACGAATAGTAAACTATGGACTAACCATGGGTTTAATTGATACAATATCATGTTCAATTGGAGTATCATCAATTAATTCTTGACAACGTTCTACAGCTACAAGATTTTTCTCTGTTTCAGTCATATCATACACAACACTAGTCATTAAACCGGAAATATTAAGTGCATACACAACCGACAAACCAATAGAAGCTATCTGAAATAAAGAAAAAAAGTGGAATCTTCATGTTTAGTTTGAGATTGGTTGTATTTTATCTAATCTTAGAGACTTATTGAACTGTCTGTGAAACATATGGTTCGTAAGGTGGAGTTAGAGTTCTTCAAACCATGCATTGAAAACCTTAATGATTAAAGTTATCAAAGAGAGAAAGAGAGAGAATTAAGCAATTCAAGCAACTAAAAATGATATTATGAATGCCTACCATTTTAAATTGGTCGAATTTTTGTTTGTGGCTTCCAATTGTTTTTATATGTTAACTACTATAAGATTAAACATTCTAATCTATACGTAGAAGCGTAACTGTTATCCATTACTGTTCAGTATAGTGTATGTAATAGCTTATTTAAACGACTATATTTATTTAAAACTACTGCATTGATTATACTAATTTTTTTTAGAAACAGACGAAATAATAAAAATAAGCTGTACATGTTTTAAGTAGGATTTTTAAACAGATTTAGATTTGACAGAAGCATTATGTGTTGTGATCAAACAGAAAATTTGTAGGTAAGTTGTACACAAGTAAGCTCAGCACTCAACCAGTAAATGAATGCGGAATCAAATTAACTGTATCTAGCTTGGCTTTAGGGGTATTTTTTTTTACTTCTCTACAAAATATGTGACTTGTGAATAACTAGTGGTATTGCAACAAATTAATAAAGTATGGATCCGTGCCGTGTATCTATGTTCGGATAACACTAACTGGCTGTGGGAGATGGTGATACTACCCGGTAGTCGAGACTGGAATAGGTCGGACATGGTGGAAAATCGAGTGTTTTAACTAATGGGTTGTCGTTGTACGTGAAAACGATGTATACAAACTCTGAAAATGATTCTTATTTTACATGAACATCAATGATTGAGAAACAATTTTTCAACCTTCAACTTGCACTTTTATTTTTTCTTCATATAAAAACATATTAACACCGAATATCAATAATTAATAACTCAATCTTACACATACACAATTCGTTCAGTCATTTATTTTCACATCGTGAACTTTTGACATGATTTGCATTTAACTGACTCATATTATCCTATTTACTATTTACTAAAAGACCAAAGAACACATTACGCCGAGAAATGGAAATAGACATGAGAAAAATGAACAAGAATTGGATGGAACTAGAAAAGAAGGCCCAGGACAGAGTGGGTTGGAGAATGCTGGTCTGCGGCCTATGCTCCATTAGGAGTAACGGGCGAAAGTAAGTAAGTAATATATTTCTTTGATGATTTTGATTAGTACCCTGAAGAAGTCCAGATAAGTTTGCTGGAAAAACGTTGGAATTATTTTAAATTTCAATCGCTGAGATTATTTCAAATATAATTTTCACGTATAATGACTTCTGATTGAATTTCGTATCTTTGTGGTAGTCGTATTAAGATGAAATAAACTAATATTTGTACAGATATATACATATGGGACGGATGATATCCTGTAAAGTACCTATACTCACTAGTTATATCATCAATGAGATGCCTGTAGCTTTCTATAAACATCACTTTTTATCAGAAATTGAACCACCTATTATCTGGTTAAAAAATGATTTCAGTTTTATGTCACCTGGGCTAGATGGTCAAATTGCAGAGTTTTCATTGTATTCCTGGACAATATCAGTGCCTACCTTCATGTACAAGTGAATTTTACTGCTATTCCACAAGTGTCACGTCGGTTTATTCCGATGGCCTTGTTTGTGATTACCTGTCTTCGTAGATTTTGGTTCTTTTCATTTTTCATTGTATTCACGTTGACTGTTTTTTTATTATTTGATCCCCAGCCTTGTAATTGATCGATCACTTCTGTATAAGTTCATAGATTGGTTGTTTGTGACAAACCGATTTCAATCAAACAACCAATAAGAATTAGAAGAAGTCAAAGCGAAGTTTTCTGAATTTTATTGTGACTAGACAACTCAAGATTACACTATTCATCATATACTTATTAAAACCACTAGATGACTGAAACCATAATTTATATCAACGATAAACTTAAAATATAACATGGCTAAAGAAAAATGACTCAATGAAAATCATTGATGTAGTTAAGTACATTTTGAATGATAAACGAACTATAACTTACATGTGTCCAGTCAAACAATCGACCAATTAATGATACACTGACCACACCAGTAATCACAGCACTGCCAATTAATTGTAGTCTTATACTTAACCAACAACTAGCAGCCAAGCTAGCTAACTCAGCACGTATTTGATCAGATAATTTACAAGCTGTTAATTGTCGAAAACGGATTTCTTGACCTAAACCATGTATTACTGCTAATCCAGATAAAGTATCGGTATAATGACCATAAACAGGTGAACGAACAATACTGGGAATTGTGAATAGTAATAATATCAACATTAATAGAAAACGTTTAAAGTAAAAAAAAAGAAGTGAAATAAAGTATAATTTTCTTTTAGATAAGTGGTTTATGATTATGTACGACTAAAAAGTAATTATTTATGAAAAGCCAAAACTGTTACACAACTAACATAATTCAAAATAAGCTTATGCTAAAATGATTTTGAGTAGATACCTATTTTCGAACATTACTTCAAACATGTATTTTAAAGTAAATGAGTTAGTCTATGTGTAAGTTATGTATACAATGCAAGCAATATATATATTGAAAGATATAAATTCGGGAAGTGATCGATAAAGGCACGAAAGTTTTAATTTGTCCTATTAACGAACTTTATTTCAAATAGAAAGTAGACTATATGTCGAGCAACCGATATTTGTAATAAGTATGTTATTCGTCATACAAGTCTATAATATAAAGTAAAATTTATGGTTGCATTCCAAACAAGCATTGAAATTGATGTAAAAAAATTTATTAGATCAATTGAGAAATATCTATGTATGTACAGTAAGAAGTGTTAGTTATGCAACGAATGAACTTGAAAGTATGTGTTTTTCGATAAATAGTTTGGTTAGCGAGTTTTGACGAAAATGAAACTTGGGCACGGATTTCACGATCAATAGACTGTGAATATCTAGCGTTCAAATAATCGGGAAAACTCTATGAGTCACAGCAAGCTTCTAGAAATATGGCATTCAGATCAATCGGCAATCAATAAACATATCGACATGGATTCAGCATGTGAACTTATACAAAAGTGATCGATCAATTACAAGGCTGGGGATCAAATAATAAAAAAACAGTCAACGTGAATACAATGAAAAATGAAAAGAACCAAAATCTACGAAGACAGGTAATCACAAACAAGGCCATCGGAATAAACCGACGTGACACTTGTGGAATAGCAGTAAAATTCACTTGTACATGAAGGTAGGCACTGATATTGTCCAGGAATACAATGAAGCTCTGCAATTTAGCCATATGACTCAGGAAACACAATACCACCAAAAGCATTCGCAGGTAAGTTTCATCACAGACAGATATTACATAAAGTACCACAAACAGCTATTTCATCTTGCCTTGAGACTACTTAAAAGTGCACATCAACCAAGATAAACGTCGAGAACTCTAAGTCTAATAGTGAGCATTCAAATGACATTTATCGATTGATGAAATTCAAATAACACCGAAGGGTGTAGCGAATCGTTTAATAATTGTGAGTCAGCTATTACATAAACATAATTTACGTATGTCCATGAGATTTTATTATTGTCACTCAAACGTTTCCCCAATGGTTGGTAAATTAAACTATCAACTGTATGGTCAAAATTTACAAACTGGTTCCACCTACCTACTGACATAGTAGTATGATTAGAGTACACAGTAAAAGTGTAGCTCAAAGCTAGGGAGATGAACAAATAATTGATTAATAGGTCACAAAAATATCTATATATACTTCAGTTGAAATATTGACAATAATATGTATTCGATTGGGTGAGTTAAGGACAGTCAGTACTTTGAAAATAAATAACTTATTTTCGATTAGCGTCACTTTTTAACTTTTACGAAATCATTGTTACGTTGTATAACAAACAAATTCTAACAATTATCTTATCGCGAAAAAAATAAACATTATAGAGGTATCTAACCTCTGTTTAGTTTATATACAAGATAAACAGTCGTAGGTTTGAATTTCACCTCATTTACATAAGGCAGTCCATTAGAATAAATAATCAACTTTCAAATAAATAACAAATACAGCTGATAATCTATAGCATAAACCGGTGTAATCAAAGTGAACTATTATTAGTTTAATGATAATAATAATCGAATGAGATAGGTAATCAAGATGAATTGCACGGTCTTATAACAGCATTAATGTCATTATCAGTGAAAGTTTAAAAGTTTTTATAGATTTCCAATATTTAATAAACACTAGGAGATAAATCGTGAAGAGTAACATGAAAACATTATAAAGGAATTATAGAATAACTACGAGATTTAAAAAAGGCCGCCACATGATATAAATCGAAAGAGAAATTAACCAATGAATGATAGATTGATCATTATTGTAAAATTAAAAAAAGACATATTAACTCACCTAGAAATTCGCTTTAGATCTCTAGCAGCTCCACGATATTGCCTTTGAATAGACCAGAAAATGAATACAAGAGGTAGCAGAAAGAAGATTAACGTTGGTAGTGATAGACAAACAATAACTAATGCACCCAATAATCCAGCTAAACTGGCTAGTAGAATATTTAATTGGAATGGTAATGCGTCATCTACTGTACCAACGTCAGATGAGAAACGATTCAGAATACGACCTTGCGGTGTAGTATTAAAGTAATTCTGTCGTCCCTACAATGAGAGAAATATATATATATATATATATATATATATATATATATATATATATTGAGAGAGAGAGGCTACAAGCGTCTCATAAGCGTTTTAGCATTTATGAAAGAACTTTGGTATGCATGTTTGGAAAAATTGCTAGGCCAATAATTATGACCATTTGCGTATGTGTATGACGTAACGAAAGGTTATCGAGTGTGAAATAGAATGTATATGCCTTGGATAATTCTACAAACTTACAGTGTCAGTTATATTTTATTTGCGATTAAGAAATATCAATGTTAAAGTATAAAAGCAATAATTTGAGCTTGACTACGTGTTCTAGTATAAGAATGAATTAGACGCTGAATAGTACTGATTTGCGCATATCAACTACTAAATTATTCAAACCGGAGTAGATCGTTAAGGTTATTTGTCTCAAATTTTGATATCGAAATCCCAACCTTAGTGGTACGTCTTCTACTGATAAGTAAACCCTTGGAAATAATACTTCACCTCACATGTCCCAAATTTAAACAAGGATTAGAAGCGAATATATATTCTGAAGTTGCGAACAATAAGAGACAGTGGTAACAAAATTGGAGTTTATACACGGTCTACATTTAAATTCTTAGCACATTCTTAATATAATCGCTGTCAATGATTAATTGAAAGCGGACCAACCAATGAGATCTTACCTAACCTACGTATGCAATAACCAGAGTAGATCTATAGAATCTGTTTTTAAGATCCATTTATATCAGACTTTTCCGTCCATGCTTTCTATCTATACACTTTCTCGGCAATAAAGACGTGGTTTTTTCCTTTGCCTTCTTCGGAATGTGCCTGGTTAATTCTGGTGATTTGACCTCGAAAACATATAACGGAGTATTGGGTGGTATTCTACGATGATTCTTATTGATGAAGATAGACGTCTCCTACGAAGTTTAGCAAATTAGATCATTGGACATTTGTACTAAATTCCACGTTGTTTACGACTGAGTGACTGATTGACTACTGTTTTTAAGGGTATACGTTCCGAATGTCGATTAAGTCACCACTAGACTAAGACGATCAAAAATTTTAAATGTACAGTGTAATTGTATGGTGGGATTTTCAGCATGTATTATACCAACTTTACATAAGAATGTTTGGAAATAAATAGCAAATATGATATTCGCATTTTTTTCGTATATCCAATCAAAAGGTTTACATAACTTCAGTGCCAGATGTGCAACCCTATTTATAACTCACTATATTGATGTACTATGTGTTGTAAAACGTTTAGTAATAGTATAATGAACAAAGAGTCCGGGAAAGTAAACCAATTTGTTGTAATAAGCAAAATCACACACCGAATTTGTAAAATATGAAAGCAATACATTGAATACATTATTTGCACAGCTTCTTTGAGGTGTCTCTTACAAACTCTATCGTTGTTCCATTCCTGTTGCTACTCTGACTGCTTTTGCTTTTCTTTCTCTTCTCCTCATTTTCCTCTTCTGTCAGTGAGAATCCTACTCTCGCTTCCTGATACATACTACTTATATCCGTCAGTATAAGTAGCAGACACCACAATACCATTTACATGATTATAATTACTACAATAATAGTAAATTGACCTAGAAGACAAACAATGATATGCAATACATTTTCACTACCTATCAAAAACGTAAAATCTTAAATTTATTTGACAAACCTCCAAAATTGTGTCCAAAGCAGATTCATGAACAACAGATGCAGCGACTAGACCACCGAAAGCAAATAAAACAGCACGAAATATTGTAGCAATCAGATTACTTATCACTACAAATGCATAGATCTCTAAGTAATAATATCCAGTGATAGAATTAGGTTCACCAAACCGTACAGCAGAATGTATGCTCGTTTGAAGCAATTCATTAATGGATGAATTGTAATTAATTGATGATAAATTATGAGTTGAGTGAATATTTTTCGTATGATTATCTGGGAATAATTCTATTTGGTAAGATGAGTCTTGAAATGATGAAACTACTGCAGATAAATTCCCATTTTGTACCCAGTATGATAACCACCAATCAGATGCATTTCGAGTACCTATTATTAAAAGGGGGAATTCACAACAAAATGAAGATTTAAGATATGCAGCAGCGGTATATATACCAAAAAGGGTATTATAACTTAAGTAAATCACTTTTCTGTAAAGACGATATAAATATGACTATCGATCAAGAACCTTCCGCTAATTTCAATATCAGTGGTCAATAGCACGCAATTGTATAAGTAAGGCTGGGTTCGAACCTGTAACCTATAGATGAGAGGCTCAGTAACGTTAGCAGTTAGTTAATTTATTCAGTACTTTGTAAATATATGTTATGTATATATAATAAGAGTTTTAACAAAGTATAAAGTACTATTATCGCTACAAAAGCAATTACATGTTCCATTCAAAGTAAAACTAATTAAATATTTATAAGAATGGAAGATTTGAAGTAATTGTCAGTAAATAACTGTCATTTTCTAAACCAGTATACTGATACACTGGTCTGATTATAAATACTGAATTATTTGCAAAAATAAGGGTGTATCAGTTAACCGAAATATTTTCAATACGAGTTTGTTTAGTTCATCTGAACAATGAATATGTTTGGGTTAATGAACAAATAACATATAATTGGTTTTCTACAATAAAATCTATGCATTAAAAACTTAATTGAACTAAAATAAACAAACATATGTACATAAATGGATAAACAGTAGCGACACATCATGCAGTATACATTTGTAGGTAGTTAACTAAGTAATAGTATGAAAATAAATGCAGTACTCTTTCGGCAGACATAAACAATATACCGTAGAATGTAACAGGATAACATAATAGTTGAAGTCACGACGCCATAAATGTAGCACAGAGAAAATCAATAAAAGTGGGGAGATTGGTTTAACTCCGCCTGGAGCACCTCCGGGGGCTACTGCCGGTCCCAAGCCCGGATAAAGGAGGGGGGTTGGGCGCGGGGTTAGCGACCCCATCTCGTAGAAAACTAACTCGTTAAAAAAACGCTAACCAGAAAAAATTTTTCAAACCTTTTAAACTCTGCCCTAGGAGCCAGAAGGTCTTCATTTAGAAGAGTTATGACGCCTCATGATGAAAGACGAGTTCCTTCGGAAGTCATGAGGCGGATGCTTTTTCTGAAAACCAGAGCAGCCATTTATTTAAGTAAACGGAATACTCGTACAATGTGGAAGACCAAGAGAGTCTTCCAAATTGCTGCGAAAATAAGGAGATACAACATGAAGGTGCTTGGGATTAGTGAAACATTGGACACAAGTTGGACAACAACGACTAGCTACAGGGGAAGCGTTAAAAGAGGCAGTCACTTCAACATGTCATGAGGTTCTGGGTCACAAGAAGCACCATCACAAGCAATGGATCACTGTTGATACACTGGATAAGATTCAAGAAAGGAGGAACAAGAAGGCAGCGATCAATACCAACCGAACAAGAGCAGAGAAAGCCAAGGCACAAGCTGAATACACAGAAGTAAACAAACAAGTGAAGAGGAGCATCAGAACCGATAAACGTAAATATGTGGAAGATTTAGCAACGACGGCGGAAAGGGCTGCAAGAGAAGAAAACATGAGACAATTGTATGACACAACAAAGAAACCCGCTGGAAATGATCGTAAACCAGAACGACCAGTGAAAAGCAAGGAGAGCAAAGTAATCACCAACATCGAAGAACAGCGAAACAAGTAGGTAGAAAACTTCAAAAAACTTGAATCAACCAGCTCCAATGAACCCACCCAACATCGAATTAGCACCCACAGACCTCGCAATCGATGCCGGCCCACCAACAATTGAAGAGATTGGCATGGCCGTCAGACAAATCAAGAGTGACAAAGTAGCAGGACCAGATAACATTCCAGCAGAGGCACTGAAAGCAGACGTAGCGGTAACTGCAAGGATACTCCACATTCTGTTCAATAAGATTTGGGATGAGGAACAAGTACCAAAAGACTGGAAAGAAGGACTTCTGGTCAAAATACCAAAGAAAGGCGATCTCAGCAACTGTGATAACTACAGAGGCATCACTCTTCTCTCAATACCGGGAAAAGTTTTCAACAGGGTATTGTTAAACAGAATGAAGGACTCCGTATACGCCCAATTTCGAGGCCAACAGGCTGAATTCCGTAAGGATCGATCGTGTACCGACCAAATCGCAACTCTACGGATCATTGTGGAACAATCAATTGAATGGAATTCATCACTCTACATCAACTTCATCGACTACGAAAAGGCATTTGATAGCGTGGACGGGACATCACTATGGAAGATTCTTCGACACTATAGCGTGCCTCAGAAGATAGTCAATATCATACAGAATTCTTATGATGGATTACACTGCAAAATCGTGCATGGAGGACAGTTGACAAACTCGTTCGAAGTAAAGACTGGTATCAGGCAAGGTTGCTTACTCTTACTCTTTCTCCTAGTGATCGACTGGATCATGAAGATGTCAACATCTGAAGGGAAACACGGGATACAATAGACATCTAGAATGCAGTTGGACGATTTTGACTTCGCACATGATCTAGCCCTTCTATCCCAAACGCAAAAACAAATGCAAGAGAAGACGACAAGGTTAGCAGCAGACTTAACAGCAGTAGGTTTCAACATACACAAACGGAAAAGCAAGATTCGCCGATACAACACACCATACAACAATCCAATCACAATTGACGGAGAAGATTTGGAAGATGTAAAAACATCTACATATCTAGGCAGTATAATTGATGAACACGGTGAATCCGATGAAGGTGTGAAGGCGTGGGTCGGCAAAGCAAGAGCAGCATATATACAACTGAAGAACATTTGGAACTCAAAACAACTGTCAACCAACACTAAGGTCAGAATTTTCAATACAAATGTCAAGACAGTTCTACTGTATGGAGCGGAAACTTGCAGAACTACGGAAGCCATCATCCACAAGATACAAGTGTTTATTAACACTTGTCTACGCAAAATACTTCGGATCTGTTGGCCAAACACTATCAGCAACAACCTACTGTGGGAGAAAAAACCAGATCTCAGCAGAGGAAGAAATCAGGAAGAAGCACTGGAAGTGGATAGAACACACATTGTGGAATGCACCCAACTGCGTCCCAAGGCAAGCCATCACATGGAATACTCGATGCCAAAGCAGGAGAGGAAGACCAAAGAACACATTACTCGGAGAAATGGAGACAGACAGACGTGAGAAGAATGAACGAAAATTGTTTAGAACTAGAAAGGAAGGCCCATGACAGAGTGGATTGGAGAATGCTGGCCGGAGGTTCATGCTCCATTGGGAGTAGCAGGCGTAAGTAAGTAAGGGAGATTGATTTCGAGGCATATCACTTACTGGGGTCAACCAGTAAGGAGTCTAAGACAGGAGGTCTATGCTTTCTTATACGGGCCAGATCACGAGAAAACGTTCGCAGCGAAGACCGGTCTATATATCACTAACTTTCGTAAAACTGTGATGTAAAGCAATCTTCAATTTATGGGAAGAAAAAAGCCATCTCTAACTAGTATAAATCCTTAAACAAAACAACTCAGTAGATATGTGCATCCATTAATTTACTCAGTTTTCACATAAACTCCTAATTCTGACAATTACTTTCGTTCATATTTCTAAGACTTACGGCTAACTAACCTTGCAAACCAAAAGCTATAGATATACTATGGCTAATGACCTGTAAGACTGAAAGTCGTGCACACGGTTATTTAGTTATTCCTTAGTATCAAAAACGAAAGGTGAGAAATTGACAGTTTTTGATAAAAATCCTAATTTAGGTTTAAAAACAACTGGGTCTAATTTGCAATAAATACTTCAGGTGACGTTGACGATTTCAGTTGGCATCTGTTATAAATGTCTAAAAATGTTCCTCTATGATATCAGTCACTTAGCTGGTCATCAGTGTAAAATTATGATGATGAGTAAAATAACTTATCGAATTTATTTGCGCACGACAAACTAAATAGCCTAATTACGAACTAACGCAATTAACACATACCTTGCATTAACAATAAAGACAAAATAATGGAGAATGTTAAAAAGTAGCCAACAGAATGAATATACGATTTGTAGACATGGGGACTAATGGAACCGACTGCCATATATTCCATATTTATATTCACATTGTTATTGTTATTATTATTGATTACACAATTCGGACTGAATTCGGATTGATTGACACTGCTGTATTCTTTAATAGTAATTAACGGAACATCATCATTTTCCAACGTCGAATTATTATTGTTTTCACTACTGTCATGATGATTATCACTGGATAATGTGGATTCATTATAAGGAAGACTGCTGTTGATGTCAAGAATGGGTTGATGCATATGATCGTTATCATCATTGTCAGGGTAAAGATTACCTGGAATTTTTCGAGTAATTATCCCATCTTTTAATTCAACAATAAAATCCACTTGAGCACGTTTATTTACAATTTTCTAAAAAGATAAAAAGAACATTAAGACAAATTCGAGAGAAATATATAAGGTAAACAAACAAATGATACTATACATAGTTGCTTGGAGAAACGTATCTTTACTTACAGTGTTCATTAACCAATCCAACTGGTGTGTGACGATAATTCTAGTTCTTCCTGATAAAAGACCAAGTAAACAATTGGTGATAATCTGTTGACCAACATCAACATCAAGTGCAGATAATGGGTCATCTAAAAGATAAACATCGGCCTTTTGATAAACAGCTCGAGCAAGAGCAACACGAGCCCGTTGACCTCCACTAAGACTGTTTCCGCCAGCTTCACCAACATCTGTGTCTAAACCATTCGGAAGTTTACCCAGATCAACTTTTAAGGCACACGCTTCAATTACAGTGTTCATCCATGCTAAATCACAATCTGAGCCAAATAAAATATTTTCGCGTATAGTTCCAGAATGAAGCCATGGAGTTTGTCCCACATAAGCATATCGAAGTCGTGGATTCGTTTTCATACTTTCATTTCTAAGTTCGTCTTCTGGAACAACCGATTGTAGTTCACCCAATATACTTAGAAGTAAAGATGATTTCCCGGAACCAACTGGTCCAATTATACCGATTAATTGTCCCTGTAAGTGATCATGAATGTAATAGAGTTGTTAAGAAGAATAATTATGTGGAATGGGTAATTAAATTGACATAGAGTATGATACTATGATGCGCCAATATAAATTGATATACCACTGAAATATACTTCTTATTCGGTACTCCAATTACCAACTAAAAACTTCGAATTCATATTTTTGTCTGACTCTAGTAGTTCGCTTGGTAGCTCGATAATAATTTAGGAAACATCACCTTTAGGTAGACAGGAGCCAAAACATTACATCAACAGATTGGCTTTCAACTTTTACAAATACGCGCATGTTGGTTCTAACAAAATGACTTAAACTTCGAAGATCCTGATTAATTCAGTACCAGTAAGCTTAAGTAGTCTGTTATCAACGAACACATTTTACAGCCACTTAGTACAATAAAATGAACTATTGTTCTGTACATGGAAAAGCAAGTAACCTCTGATGGCAACAACCCAAAAATACAACAAAACAACTACAGGGGATACTGAGGTATCCCCTTTGGGTTGAAATATCCCAACAGAAGCTGATAATCATTCATTCCTAAATGACAACAACATGAAAATCTAAACCCTTACAAAAGTGGGATTCGAATTTTAGTGGTGCTATATAATCAACTAATAACTTTTAACTTACCCACTGCACCTGGAGAGTGATATTTTTTAAAACTAAATTATCGCAGTTAGTATAATAGAATGATTCATTCATAATGTTTACTGGCATGCTGATAGTAGATTTTTCGGCAAAAGAACAAACAATCGGAATATCTGTTGGAATTCCAACATCAGAGAGCGGCGTATCAGTTAATTCTAATGAAAATGAACCAGATGATAAATAGAAGAGTTTTGTAATACGTTGCATGGAAATAGTTGCTTCCATAACGCCATTAATAACCCAAGGAAAAGCATTCATCGGACCAATCAACATTCCAAATAATGCAAGACTAGAAAATACCTTAAAGAGAACAAGATGATACTGAGTGGATGTGCAGATTTAAATGGATATTTAAAAGACGAGTATTTAGTATTCAGTCAGTCAGCTACAACGTAGGACCAGGCACATATATGCATCGGTCCAAGTTGCCATACCTCATTAACACAACAAGATAAACATCGGATTCATAAAAGTAGTTGGTTTAGTTATGGTAATATATAAAAGAAAGATTGCAGTAAGGATATAGTACAGGAAGAAAGAATTAGTTCGTAGAAAGAAAGATATGAAGCGATTTTAATCTCTTAGTTTAAGGGAAGACAGAGAGTGTAATTTAGTTTTCAAATAATAAGCAGATATTAATTTACGAACCAATATCAGTGTGAATCAGTTTAAAAGATCCAAAATGATAAATTTAAGGGGAAATTTATTCCATAGAAAATGGTATGGAGTACATAAGACCGGAAAATCATTTTGAGGATGCTGGCAAGTGACTATAACAGTAATTTAAAAAATCCAAGGTATTCGATGCAACTTAGTTAACCATTGAGTCATGTACACAACTGAAAATTTACCACCAATAATTTTCAATAAAACCATATGCCAGATAAGTAGAGTTTTTAAGAAACAACAGTGAGAAACTTTATCCTTTTTTAACGAATATATGATACGTATTTCAAAATGATTATTCTACTGAAATTCATAGACGGTCATTAGTGTCAGTTGACACTGAAAACATTCACCTACTATAATCAGAAAATTGAGCATTATTAACTGAAGTCGCTGAGAATAACCTGATTTAAACAAATATATTTTTTCAACAACTAGTGTACTGAAAATTAGATACAGGGATACCAAATCATTAAAAAGTTGCATCTACTTTTTGGAACGAAAAAGTTGATGACACTTATTTAAGACAGATGTGGCATAATAGATTGGCAAGAAAAGCGTCTCCCAGTGGTTATGTCCAACCGAGCATAGGGAGTCTACTTTCCCATATATATATTCAGATGTGTTGAAATTCGCTTTTAAAATTAAACACGTAGATATTATTAAGGGAAGGAAACGTCGAAAAAAGCCTTAGCATCTAAACTGGGTATGTACCCTAACATATATCATGTATACTAGGCTGTCTTTAAGACCAATAAGTGATTAAGTTAAAAACATCAAGACAACATAAATGCAACTGAATATTTACCGCAGAAGCTTTTAATTCGTTACCGATAGCCACATAAGTTGCGAATGTTGAACTGGCTAACAATGCAGGACAGACAGCCCAAAAGAATACACAACAAGCGTCCAGCAACTTTTGACCACGTAGAGCGTTCAACTCCTGAATGCGAGAATGCATGAGACGATTTTTCATTAAATTCTCCCAACATGCTAGTTTCACTGAAAGCGTATTTGATAGAATTTCAGACATCAACTAAATTTTCGAAAAGAAAGCAATCATAATGTTTATTACCAAAGAAAGATTTAGTATCAAAATTATATCACAAGAAAATTTCTAAAATGAGAATTGAGAAATTTTGCATATAAATTTTTATACATGAGCATCAGCTTTACTGATTGAATTTATAACTAAAGATTTTCACACAGAAATGCATGGGTTAACTACACAGTTTACAACTTCAAGGGAGAGATACACAGGGTCAATATTTATCATGCAGAAATATGCTCAGTTTGGTCAATACATTGAAAATAATCAAGTAAGCGAACTTAATATTACCAAATCAGGGATGCTAATCGTTTAGAGAAATTGTTTAGGTAAATGACTGCTTAAGTTTTCCATTGGGGAGAACACAAAGTAATTTTGGAAGACCTTGTTTATGGGATAAAAGTTTGACATATTTGAACAAAGTGCATGTTTACCTACAAATTGTTTTTTAATCTCGGGAAGACATGGAAAAACATCCTATGTGATACTTTTTTGAATCTAATCACAACATTACTCATTGCAACACAAGTGCGTTACTTGGTGGTTTAGTCCTTTTAACAGAAAAGATTAGTCGCGATTATGGAAGCATCATTGACCGATTTTAAGATAAACGATTAGTGATGACAAGTTACATGAATAACGAGATTAGGAACAGCAAGACAGAAAATCGAAGCCCTCTATGACTTTTAGTCATATTTTATTGACAAGTAAAGATGTCGCGAGAATACAAAAATGTTGCCTTGACTATGTTTTCCAAAGATAAAAAAAGTTATTTGGTGTTACCTAGATACGTTGCTAACTAGTAGTGAACTATATCTGAACATCTTAGTCAAAAGAAGCGGTAATTCATAGGGTAGAAACATTTCAAGACACTACTATTTTTATATTATGGTAAAATTTGGTAAAAAGGAACCACTTACAATCCTTTATCAAGTGAACTTACAACTTATCTCCCCGACAGAAGACAAATTTTAAGGCAACCGGGGTTTTATACAGAACAGAAACTAGGGGGTTTTAAGGAAACAAGTACGAAATAACTGAAAAAGCTATTTGTAATCGTGAATTATTAATTGGTGTTTATAATTATACAGTAAGCTCGTAACAGAAAGCGGGTAACTGATATTTAGATAGCCTCAATTGCTTTGGGTTGTCTGATAACTTCAAAGCAATATAGAAAACGAGTACAGTTAGGACACGAGAAGTTGAAACACTCACCTTAATCCGTGTATCCTTAAACATCATCAAACGGCGACTAAACTTCCCGATTTTTGTTGCTAAAATACGATTCAGAGGAAGTAACACAAGTAGAAACCCAATGCCTACTAAACAGGCAAGCCCGAGTTGGTGGTAAAGTAGTCCGATTGCAACAGATAATTGCAGAGGCATTGCCCACACTTCGTGAATACTAGGTGCGAAATTGACTATTCTATCAGCATCAGAGGTCAGATAATTAACCAAACATCCCGTTCCAATACAATTAAGTGACGAAGTTTTAAGGGATAAAATTTTCCTGTAAACCATCCCAGTTACACTGACTCTAACTTTGAAGCCGAAACTTGCCATTTTGTAATTGTAAGATGTGCTCAAAACTGCTATCTTCAATGACAAAAAAACTAGTCCGAACCCAACAAGAATGCAAGACCATGAGGGAGTTTCGGAGTTTGTCACGTTTAGAATGAAATGATTTAAAACTACTGGACCACATAAACCGAAGCCACTAAGTAAAAGTTTGAGCAAACCGAGATACAGGAATTCACGACCGAATGCTTCATAACTTGCTTTTAAAAATGGAACACAAGCTTTGATAGAACACCCTTTGTTAGAAATATCGTGACTTTGTCTAATCGTTTCATCAATAGTTACAGATTTCAACTTTAATTTAGGGACTTTTGATTCCAAAGTGTATGTATTCAGACGTTTAGGGACCAAAGGTAGATTTGTGAGTGAATACAATTCTCCGTAATAACCACTACGCACTAGATTATTAACCCAACAAAAACATAACTTTGAAAACCATGAAGCCGAATCTTCACGGTCATTAACATTTTGCGAAGTGGGTCTCTGTGTAATTTCATTTGACTGATAACTTGTAGACAACTGGATGCTATTGGAATTTTGTCTTAAGATCCTAGCCCTTCTGCGCCTAGGCTCTTCCGAGGGGTAGAACACTGGGACCTTGGAAAGTAAATGCAGACATAACAGGAGTAATTGAATATAGCAATTAACAATAACATATGGTCTCCATAGCGCATCCACTTCTCTACGAAAAGACCAGCAGTTTATAGCTAAGCAAAAGAAGTATATTATTGAAAACGAAAGATGAATCCGAGAACCCCTTGAAGAATATTTGAGGGCTTTACCATGGAGATAATCAAGGATTAGTGTTGTAATCCAGAGTATTACTGTTATGAAACTGTGAATTGCAAAAAAACGAGAGTTAATAGAAAACCCCTCCTCGTAGTATGGAAGAAGAAACCCGAGAACGATAATCACACCACTGCTGGTAACGATTGTTATATCTATGGCCACTCGAAAATAGAAGACTGAACAATAAAAACTGTCAAATGCTAAGTGCCGCCATAGGACAACGCAATAAATGAATGAGATGATTGTACACAATAAAGTCAAAGGGATATAAACGTATACTTCAAACCAGCAAACACCAACAACTCCATCATGCCATGGACTAGGATCCAAATTACCACATATGAATTCCACAAAAGGGACCTGCATCGCACAGGTTCGATTTTGTGACTAGTTCAGTGACCTTGAGGTTGTAGTGGTGACTTAAAAAAACAAATCTGAAGAGCACATTATTGTGCTAAGAAAATGAACCCCAGCTTGTTGTTTTATGCAGTATTATAGATAGCCCCATCCAATCAAGGAGTTAAACTAGTGCTGAGCGTCCAGTAGTTGTGCATAACAGTGATGTTTTCGAAAGGATTATGAAACTCAGGCATCCGACAACCTGGGACCAAGTCAGAGATGTTATCAATCTATTGAAGAAGGTTTGTCAATAAAAGTATGCCACGCTCAACATTGAAAGGTAGGAAATATGATACCAGTATGTAGTATATGTTTGTTGTTTCGATCATAAAAGAAGGCCGATGGGCCGTGGTTCGAGAGTAGAAGGAAGAATATGTGTTATTATGCTCATTTTTCATATGATATGATCATTGTTCTGGTTTGAGATACATTAGATTGACGTCACAGCATTGGGTATAATTCCACCGTTGATGTACTTTCGTAGCAACTGAATTTAAGCGCCAAAACTCATCTGATATCCTTTGGTTAGAAAAAATCATTAAACCAGAGGGTAGGGTTATCGGATTTCCTATTCTATGTAGGCAATGAATTTCAAATTTTCCTGTATTGAACAGTGGAACGTCTAGGTGTCTAAATTAATATAACTTCATGATCTACTTGGTCCTCATGTTGTGTAATAAACATTAAAACCAAATTGTTGAGAGCTTTATGGATTTTATTACCCAAATAATATATGAGGAGTTAGTACTAACATTCATTTATTCTAAAAGTAGTCCATATTTATGTAGATCTTGTGTTGGTTTCCAAACAAAAGGAGCTTACACAAAATATATTGATACACTAGGTTAATAGTGGTATACCAAAAAAATTAATAGTAAAAAAACCTAGATGTATGTCCGTTAGTAAAACCAAAGGTAACAAAATACCGTTAGCAATACAAAAGGTATATTAAACAAACAGACACTAACAGTTACTATAGAATGAATGTTACTTGTGAACTGCCTCGTGAGAACAACGACCACAAACTGAGTTCACTTGATTGACAGGTGTTCTTCTGCAAGTGACTGCACCAATGACGTAATGAGGAAGACGGAATCCAATAGTATTATACAATAGTAATCCGCGCCAAAAGTCCAACGTTGAGTCGGAAGGCCTATAATGACGTTATAATACTATTATAGTCTTCAATCAAAACGGTGGCCAATAAAACAGAAGAACAAACGGCGTAGATAGTGTTCTATATTTTAAACAACCCGGTAGAAGAAGTGTATATCATTCATCGAAACAATTATCATCGTCTTTTTAACAAGTGATACAGCAAAACAACAGATATTGAATAAAAATGTGGTTACAAATAAGGTGTGACAAATTAGAGAAAAAATGTGGCTTTTATTTTTGTTGTTACAAAAATCACTGAATATATGTCACCATAATCTTCACATTCAATTCCTATGCTCTGGTATTCAAAATCTTTTGCACTGCCATTTTAACGTTTATTTTCTACAATTCTTTTTATATTAGCGGATGAGCTCACTGTCCAGCCTGTTTTCAGGTTTATTCACTTCAGAGTGCATCGAGGAATTTACGAATATCACACATTTCTAAGAACTTTCGTTTACTCGTGGCTTCTTGACTACAAAACGTTTCAATAAAATGAACATAAATTCTCAATATATATATGTAGTAAGTGGCAAAATAATTGTTCCTTATTTGCATGGATCACAATAGAATTTGTATAGGTTGTTAACGAGATCTGACTTAATGAATTGGAAACGGCTAGTCTCATTGATAGATCTAGGTAGTGTTATGTCAGGATGAAGGTTTAAATATATTGACTATTACTATTTACGTTAATACAATAGTAATGTTATTCATAATAACCCAATGAATAGAAAATTTAATTTCTGATGACTCATGAGATAATGTAAGTTGCTTCTTTAAAGAAGGAATGATATTCTTCAAACTAAACTGGGATATTACTAGTAAGACATTATTATTATCATTATATAATTAAAATGACAATATTTACTCGAATTTTATACGGACCACATTATGGAAACATTAAGTTAGCTAAAACATTTGATCCAACCACGCTGTTATTCCTTTCAGGAATGTATGCCTAAAATCATTCGCGATTCTGCGACGTTTCTGTCACACATAAAGAACATTGGCAAAGTATTGTTTCAAATTGTACTAAGAGAGTTAAAATTACCTGTAGGCTATATTATGATGCATGAAGAAACTTCTGACAATTAAATTTAAAAGATACCTCGAATAAAAATAACTAAACAAATGTATTTTGATTTACATATAAATATTTCGGTTACTGATTACCAGAATAATAATCGTTTTATTAATGAATATAGTGGTTAATGTAATTGTAAAAGATTTTGCTGTTAATAAGCAAACCATATTCAAATTCTAAAGAGTCCATAAAATATTTTATTCCTTAAGGTGTTTAGTAAGAACTCTTAGTTACGAATTTGATGGATTTTACTTTATTCTTTTTAAACAAAAAACACTTAAATGGAATGAAGTCAATGCGAGCTTGATGAGCTTAACTGGACAAGAGTAGAAAATCTCAGATTATGACAGTCAGACATGGGCTAACTGTAGATCTAATTTTTGTACTGATTGGCTTGCATTGACAAGAGGGCCCTGAAACTTTATAGGTTTGAATAAACCTCCTTAAGTATCATAGTCATAGACGTTACCACTAAGCTGACTTGTTTATAATAGTCAGTTTTACCTCTAGCTCTATAGTTTAAGTCAAAGTACATTGAGATTCCGAATCATACTGAAATGTGACTTTATTTCAAATGAATTTAATAGGAATCAGCCAAATATGAGGTCTGGAAAACATAACCTTGTTAGCTACTCAGTAACAGATTAGTCTATCAATCATATGGAACATAATACTTGACACATCGGTTCAAGTTAACATCACACATTGGAACAGTGAGATAAAATTATACAGGTTAGTATAAAGTTGACACGAAGTAAAAATCAATACAATCAATTTAGAAAAAATATATGCGAACCTAAAATTACGAAAATTCAAGGTTTTTTTCAAAAATAATTTCTTTGTACTACTTTAGAATCATTTTCGTGCTTGTGACCATGTTAGATATGTTCAAGAAATCAATAACAACTTTAATGATCACTTACAAGATTATTGTAAAAAAGAAGTAGAAAACTAATTAACTATCCAAATCTTTCAATTTTTTAAACTTTAATGACGTTCTTATACTACTTGACGTCATTTGATCGTGTATCTAACCATTTCTAATCATATTTGCATCAACACTGGTCGTCATCATTATTTATTCCCACTTTCTTTTTTTTCACTTTCTCTTTTCTTCTTACAATTTTCCTTCACTAGGTTAAATATTAATTGTTACATATTGAAAAAAAATTCTACATTTATACTGAACTCCACAATATTTAATTCTTACTACTTTAATATCCATCTGTTTGTTTTGTTCTTGATTACTATAAACTTCTAGAGATTTTCAGCTCGTCTGTTTGCCTGTATACATCAATGAATGCAGTGATTCTGTAGATGTAATCTTATAAATTACTATTCTGAGACAAAATCATATTATTTCATATTATCAGTTGATTAATATTTAATTGTCACAAAGGGTTTTGTGGAGATTTTAGTAATATCAATAGTTGAAATCATGGATGAAATCGTGGATGCGCACTGCTGAGGAGTCCCATACTAAAACGAAACGGCCGTCCAGTGCTTTCAGGTTTTCTGTGGTGGTCTAGCTTCAACTCACCCTTGATTTAACTATTTAATTGTTGTTTTATAATAACGATTTAATGGTTTCGGTTACAATAAGTAACTTAAATGAAAATTTTCTTGTTATAAAGGAAATTTAAGTTTTAGTGTTAGGAAAAGTAAATGGAATACAAAATACTTTAATCATAAGATAGTTTAATCACAAACTGACTTCAGTTAGTGAATCACTGAAAGTCGAAAAGGGACTAGATAGATATTTTGGATTGGTTCACCATTACTCAGGACTATAAACGTTATCCCATTGATGATTGAACAAATGAACATTTTGTGCTCAAGATGAGCTTTCTGAGAAAGTATATGATAGTTTATATTCTTAACTTCATTGATTCATGATTCAATACAATAATATGCCCATTTTATCGGTGATTTTTTATGGTCAGCGTTTTTTTCTATGTAGTGAGGTTGCTAACTCCAACCTTCCTCCTTTATCCCTGCTTGAGAATAGAAGGGCTACAGGCGGAGTTAAGTTATCAGTGATACTAGTCTCATTCCTGATATACTTGAATTTCATCAGTCATGATTTCTTACTAGAACTTTCGGGATTTATCTCTAAGTTACATAATTATTGCTTTTACTTAGATGTAGAGTTTTCAACACAAAATGACTTTAATTGATGAATCACTAAAAATCTTGCATATGTGGATGAACCTATAAATTACTTACATTATCTCAGGCTAATTTTTTTGAAGTTCATAAATATTATTATTAACAACATCATTTACATGATATTTGTTTAGCTTTAAAATACAATGTTGAGATGGACAACCAAAATCGAAATTGTTGTTAAATATCAATGGAACAGATCTATATAAAAAATGTTATAAGAAATAATTGGTCAGTAAAAATATAGTACTAGGAGTTAATATATAATGGAGGTGTAGTTAGTGACTGAACACATTGTAATGTGAATATTATGTACCATTATATTTGGTTAATTTTTAAAAAAAATAGTTGAAAATTAATTACCATCCAGAAATATTTATATATGCCTGGATAGCTGTAAGTAGTTTAAACTGAACAAGTTAATTTTGAGTATCAGCAAAGGAAAAATCAAAGTCCTTGCAAACAAATAAACCAATTTAAGAAATACTTTTTTGGTTATATTATCAAAATATGTAGCTTCATGTGTAATATCATTTCTGTTCGGTCCCATAGATTAATATTACTTATTTTAATTCAAGG